GCCGCTACACTACTGTCTACCAAGGTTACTGTTTGTATGTTAGCACACAGTAAGGAGAAAATTTAAAGCATTTATACACGTGCCCCATTAACTAAACTGTCAGATGAAGAAAAAGCTGGACTACAGTATATTGGAGGTTATGTGCTTCATAAACTTCATACAAAGCATGCTAGTAAATCATCAGAAAGTGAGCAGGCAATCTCCATCCTTAAGGCTGGCAAATTAGAAGACCAGAATGCCATTGAATGCCAGAAGTTAACTTCATCCTTAAACCATGGTGGTTTGTGGGCAATGTCAAAAAATGCTCAATCAATATTTGAGAGAACTAAACATTATTTCAGGGATGCCAATACAACAACTGATTAAAAGAACGATACCGGTTTCGCGCCATGGCGAGTTCGCCCCCACTGAGTTCGCCCCCACTATAAAATTTCTATTTCGAGTTCGCCCCCAACTTTTAGTGTTCGTGTTTACGTAGGTGTCATCGAGTTATTGAACGTTTTCGAAGAACCATTTCAGTCTATGTATGTTTGCTTGTTCGCGAGCGCATAGCAACAAAGTCCAACGGTTACCGGTCAACTCGCCACGAGGGAGTCTCGCCACCAATGAATTCTCCACCAAGGGAAGTCACCTCTCCACCAAGCGAAGTTTCCTCGCCACCAGTAATCTAATGAGGCAGTGGATAAAAGAACGAGAAATAATTTCTATATGCGACTCGATCTGGTTGGGGGCGAACTCGATCAAGTTGAGTCGATGTGGGGGCGAACTTGGTGGGGGCGAACTCGCCATGAGGCGAAACCGGCAGCTACCGATTAAAAATAAAAATTATTTACATTCATATGTGCAAGTTGAAATATTAGCATAGAAAAAATACATGTCTATATATTAAACAATGTATACTTGTTTAATTATAGAAGACTGCCATAAAACTTCCTCTAGCTGGCCTTAGTTCAGAGACAACAGTAGTAGCTGGTCAATCAGCACACGTTACGATGTATATCTAAAATATCAGGGACGGAGCCTATTTTACACTAGGGGGGGGCGGGGGCTTGAAAATGAGGGTCAGATGTGCAAGTTTGTAGGGAGGTCTGGTACCTCATAATAAAACAAAATAAAACATCATCCTTGTGAAAAAGTGGGGGTGGGGACTAAAACTCCCTTTGGAGTTTGCTGGTCTTCATAACCAGTCCCCCCCACTAACTATGGTTTAAAATATCCCAAACCCTCTTCGCTAGTGTTTAGATCGAATTTTACAGCAATTTTTTAAATTCTCGTCGATTTAAATTCTTAAAAATTTACGATTGCGTATATATATATTCCAAATTGCACGAGGAAAATCATTTGATTACTTGTTAATAATATACATACAATTAAATTTCAACTTTCTGCACTGTTTAGGATTAATTGACGTGCTCTTAGCCAATCAGCACGCTGAACCATTTGCATGTATAATATATTTTCCGCTGTTACGAAGTTGATACAGTTCGTTAGCAGTTTATGTTTTTCGTGTTTTGTTGCAGCACGCCGTTAGGGCGTGTCTCCAGGGATTTTGTGATTGGTTGGTGTTTAGTATTTAAGGCTTCAAAGAGTTGCTAGATTCCTCTCGTCCGCGTTCTCCATCCTGGCGTTTATTTCATTTCATTTCGATGGGTGAGAAGACTCCTGCGAGCCTTACTACAGAGAGTGGTTCGGCGCCTTCCATCGCCCAAGCCGACGTTGTATCTCAAAACTCTTCTTCGAAGTCAGAGTTGGTCGAAGAGGCTTTTTCGCTTTTTAAAGGCTATCTGACCTCGCGGTTGGAAGAGAAAGGGAAGCAGTTTGAACGAAGTGCGAAGTCCGATAAAGAAGCCGCGGACATTAAGTATAAAGGTAACCGAAAGCAGTTCGAGGTGAATTTGCGGTTGGACAATATATTGGCACAAATCGATGACAGTACTGACAGTCCGGCTGATATTCACAAGTTGGTTGCAGAAGGAAAATGGATCATCAAAAAGCGTCAGAAGTTGATCAAAATCGCTGACAAGAACAAAGATGGTTGGCTTGTTGTCCAAGAGTATGAGTCCGACGATTTAGCCTCAGACTCTGAAGATGAGAAGAAGATTCGCAAAGCCAAAGCTGCCGCTGAGAAGAAGCGACAAGAAGCAAAGAGTAACAGCGGTAACACTTCGAAAAGATTTAAGTCTTCTAGTGATTTGCAGCTTTTTCGCGGTAAGACCACTATTTATTTGTACTTTGTGAAGTTCGCGGTCCTTTTGGTTGGACTGCCTGAGCATCCAACCATCAATTTATTTTATTTATTTATCTATGTTTTTAAGGGGAAAATAATTTAAGTTCGTTTGAGCGTAGCGAATTAGAACGTAATTATTATTATTAACGTCATAAAATTTGTAATGGTAATTCGTATGTGTGCGTGTACATGTGTAATTTAAGAT